GGCCACGGTCTCCGTCCACTGAGTGCCATCAGCCCGCGGCACCTTAGAGGAAAATAAGCCCAAAGAGGCCCCGGAGGGAATGGAGGCGGCTTAAGTGGCCTCGGGGCTTTGAAAGGAGAATTTTCCAGGAAGGACCATTTGGGTGGGGCGTGTCCTGAGGGATGATAAATGCACAAGGAAATGACCCGACTGGTTAGGTATCCAATGGAGCAAGGATTCAGGGAAATGGGTTAGGGGACATTGGGATCCTCCTCGACGGTTACGCTGCACAAAAATATTCCAGGTCCCTTTAAGAAATTCTGAATCATTTATAAGTAGATTCAGGAAGTTCTGCCTAGCGTCATGCACAGAGACGGACGCTCTGTCCACATGATTTTTTTTTTAAATAGTCTTTGAAGAGACATCTGAATGTCCATGCACATTGTAGCACAATTGTCAAGGTTTATAATGGAACAAAACATTTCCCCAAAAAAATCTGAAAAAAGAAAGAAAAAAAACAAAAACAAAAAATTACAAAACAAATTAAATAATAATAATGATAATAATAATAAGTGGCGTGGGTGTTTATAGCAGCACAATCCACAATAGCCAAACGGTGGAACCAGCCTAGGTGTCCAGGAATGAATGAATGCATAAAAAATTGTGGTGTGTAGACACAGTGGAGCACTATTCAGCCATGTAGAAGAATGGAATCGTGTCATTTGCAGGAAGATTGTGGAACTTGAGACTATGTTAAGCAAAATAAGTCAAAATCATACTCAGGGGTCACTGTGGCCCCTATGCAGAAGGTAGGCGGGAAAAAGGAATAGAAAGGTGCAGCTGCAGGTCATAAAAATCAAACGGAGAGCCGGGTGCAGTGGCGCACGCCCGTCATCCCATGAGCTAGGGAGGCTGAGGCAGGGGGATCACGAGTTCAAAGCCAGCCTCGGCAAAAGGGAGGCCCTAAGCAGCTCAGTGAGACGCTGTCTCTAAATAAAATGCAAAATAGGGCTGTGGATGAGGCTCAGGGGTCGAGTGCTCCTGAGTTCAGTCCCCAGTATGTACCTCATCCCCCGGAAAAAAAAAAAAAAATCAAAGGTAGATTACTAGAGGAGAGGGACTGGTAGAGGCGGGATGGAGGGGGAAGTGCTGAGGTGGTACTTTGCTAAGTTGCGTTGTCCCCATTGTGTGCTTGTACAAGTAGGTAAGGACAAATCCCACCCCCCGTTATGCAACTTTATAACACAACCATTGAAAAGATGGGGAATCGACATGGTACCCACTCACCAATAGAATACTACACAGCCAGCAAAAAGGTAAAACGCTGTCATCGACAACGCCAAATGATCACACAGCAGAGTCTGTACCTTGTACCCCCCAAATACATGACACACGGGGTAACGCGTATGTGAATGTGTGTCATTGGGCCACTCGGCCGCGTGTGCACTTTTCAAAGCATCCTGTGCATGATAAATTCGTGCATTTTTTTATTTGTCAGGGCACATTTCTTGAGGTCCCTGCAGGCGTCCTGCAAGTCCCCTCTCTCTGTCCGTCACCTCGGCCAGATGCATGTGACCTTTCTGACTTGTGTCCAAAAGTATGTGCCCAGCACAGCCCAAGGGGCTCATGCAACCGGTGGTCACCTGTGGACAAAAAAGCCGTGCCAACCTGGGGTGGCATTTCTCACTTTCCTGACCTGGTCAACGGTGAGCATCCAACAAAGTCAACAGATCCTGGAGGTCACCCTGGTCCTCATCCCATGGAGATCCGTGTCAGCTCTGAGACTTCCCGGGGTTGTGACGGGCGAATGTCATCACTGAGACCGACGCCGCGGCACCGAGAGCCACCTGCCTTGTCCCATTGGGGACTGTCAGTCATGTGCTCACGGAGGAGAATGAGAAATGAAGGATCTTTCTCTGCGGAACAGAGAAATTCGCCCTGAGCTGCTCAGCACCAGGACGGACCTGGGCGAACGGCCAGAGCCTCTTATTTCGGTGTGTGTCCAACTGCAGACGGCGAAGCTGGGGCTCAGGAGACCGTCAGGGTCCCTCTGAGGTCACATAAATCAAGATAGAGACTGGAGGTGATTTGGGGCTCAGTATGTCAGAGTCCCGATCCCGATTCAGGAGAATCATTTGACCAGAATAAACCAGCCTCAGGGGACTCAGACTTGGTTTCCTTGTGGGTAAGATGCAGCCCCTGCCGGTCAGCGAGCTCAGAGCGACTAAGCACAGTACCTTCAACAGCGACCCAGCACCATCCACCCACCCTGCAGGTGTGGGATGATTTGGTCCTAAAGGGGAAAGGGAGGTTTGACTTAAACCAACAGCATGATACGACATCTGTGAGACCCCAAATCATACCATACCCCCAAAGTCCGTCCCTCCTGCATCTGCAGAACATAACAGAATATCGGGAAGTTCTGCAAGTGTCTAGCTGGATGGATTTCCTCAGGAGGAAGGGGTCCGCATGGTGCTGGGAGGTGCAGGGGTGAGAGGGAGCTACGATTGGTGCGGGAGGCTGCAGGGCGCGCAGCTCAGGAGGATACTAAGGTGCGTCCTCAACAGGTGGGGACGCCCGACACCTCCCTATGGGAACCTGTGGGTCCTGAGTGGCTGGTGTTGCAAACCTGCCGTGCAAAATAGTATACAGCAGAGAAGAAGCCCTTCCTCAAAAAACACCGGGGGTCCAGCCCTCCCAGGACCTGGGGGAGGTAGGACAGTCATTTGCTCACTAGGACGATGCAGGACAATTGCTTGGGATCCTGTTTCTCTCTTTCTTTCCTGGGTTTGGTATTTGCAGGATCAAACCCAGAGACGCGAACAGAATGCACAAAAGTCCTACCACTGAGCTAACCCCTAGCATCTTCAGCTGATGATTTGTGCACAGTGATGCACACCTGGGATCCAGAGGCCAGGGCAGGAGGATCGCAAGTCTGAGGCCAGCCTCCGCAACTCAGGGAGGACAGAAGCAGACCAAGTCTCAAAATAAAAATATCAAAAACATTTAAAAAAGGCTGAGGAATGTGGCTCCGTGGGTCAGCCCACCTGGATCCGATCCCTGGGGACTAAAAATATCTTTCCTGGAAATCTAAGTTGTTGTCTTAGGGATGGTCACCATGGAGACACCCAGTCCCCTCGGTTGGGTCCCTGTAGGGCGCGGGGGGGAGGGGGGGCGATCTCTGTTACAAAATAAAAGCCTCCCCAGGACTTTTATTTTAAAGACGCCATGGCTAAAGGTCAGCCTCCGACTTTCTGGGTATTTGCATTTCTTTCTTTTTCTCTTTTCTTTAAGATAAATCAACAAAATGCAGGGTGTCCCCGAGCTGTCCTGGCCAGACGGAGCCTCCTTCAGAAAGAGGAGAAACCCCAGGGCTGAAGGGGACCCCCAGAGAGAGAGAGGGGGGGAGGGAAACCAGGCTCCTTGGAGGTCCGGCCTCCCTCAGGCACCTGCCTCCCATCCCGGAGGCCAAACAACATTTTGTGCATTTTAGCCAAAGGAGACCCTGCCCGGGACCCAGGGCTGCCTCCGGCTCACAGGCTCCTCCTTGGGGACAGTGGCCTTATCACATGAAAAGACCCCGTGGGGACCCTGCCCCAACTTTCCGCGTCCACCTCGTGGCTAAGAAGGACCTTTGTCAACCGCCAAGAATCCCAGGCGCCTCTCTCAGAAGCCGGTGGCCGAAAGCCACTGACCAGAACCTGTCCCCAAAGGCATCCAGAGAAGCCGGCCGCAGGGGACCGCAGAGATTTGCACGGACCAGGGGGACAGACCGGGGGGACCGTGGCGCTCGGAAGGCAGCCGAGCCCCTGGGGGTGCGTGTCCACCCTGGGAGGACCTGGTCCCTGCAGGAGCCGTCCACCAAACCCACGGGCACCAGGGAGGGGGCAGCTGGTGCTTCCCAGACAGGGACGGACTCCTGCCACCCACCACCTCCCGGGGTCCCAGAGAGGGTCCCCTTCCCAGCCACTCGACATGACATCACGTCCTTCGTCACAAGGAAAAGCAAGTATTTTTGCAGCGATGTCCAGTTTGCAGACAGCTGTCCGTCAAAGTCAGGAGGGGGACCTGGGCGGGGCTCTCTGGGGACTTCCCTGGGACCCCCAGAAAACCGGAGGGCAGGAGGGGCACGCTGTCCCTGTCCTCTCTGAGAGGACCCCTCTGTCCCTTGAGAGTGTCCCCTTCCCCTCTCCACCCCTTCAGTGCGCTCCTGCCTGTCACTGTGAGTGACAGGTCTGACATTTTGCTGAGTTGATGGGAAGGATCTTTGCAGGAGGGTCTTCCTGCTGCTGCAAATTCCCAGAATTCCTTGCAACTCCAGGGCATCCTTATTAAAAACTCGATTAATTTTAATTATTATTATTATTATTATTATTATTATTATTATTATTTTATTTTTATTATTATTATTATTTTTTTTTTTTTTTGCCTTGCAAACACTTTTTTGTAGATTGGGCAAAAACATGGACGACCCTGGAGGAGGGACGTCTTGGACTCTCCCCCCCCCCCCCCCCCCCGCGACTTGGCCACGTGTTCAATGCAAAGTTGACCTTGAACGCCCGGCACCGTCCTCAATGCCCTTGACCTCTCCACCCTACGATGGCACCTGGTCCACACGAGACCTGAATCCCGTTGCCTAAGGCTGCAAGGAGCAAGGTCCTGGGTCCCCATGGAGCTGGGAAACCCGAGGCGCTACCTTCTTGCACATGAAGACGACCTTGACCCTGTCGACCACCACACAACCAGGGAGAGGCGCTATGCACCGCGGTCACCAGCGACCCCAGGACCCCGCAGGGTTCTGCATGAACCGACCATTGTCCCACGAGCAAAAGGAAAGAGGCATCCTTCATCGCAAAGTGTCACTCGGTCTCGATGGCTTTAAAGACTCAGGTTAGACAGGTGGTGGGACTGTCGGGGACCCGGAGCCGCAGGATTCGAATGCACGAGGGCCCCACCTGGACAGAAAGCCATGGTTGCAACAGCCGGGCAGGCCCTGCCGGGGGCAGGCCTCGGTCACTTACCCAGGATGCCCAGGCGGTAGTTGATGGTGATGACGATGACATTCCCGTAGCTGGCCAGGATGCTGCCGTCGATCATGTTGCCCGTGCCCTCCATGTAGGAGCCGCCGTGGATGTAGACCATGACCGGCTTCTTGCTGCTCTGGTCGTGGATATCTGGGGGGGAGAGCAAGCGGGGGACACCGTAAAGAATCACACTCAGGGTGCCCGCTGCTTCCAGAGGGGGACGAGGGACCGAGGTGGCATCCCCTGCCAGGAACCCCATGTAGGCAGGTGGACAAGGGGGGGCAGGCTTTGGAGGCTGGCCACGGCTGGGACGTGTTCTCTGCACCGAGGTCACTTTTGGAGGGACCCTGGGGAGGGGGGGGTGAGGCTCAGGGGAGACCCCCAGCCTCCAGGGCCCACCGTCCTGCAGCAGAAAATAGAAAAAAAAAATCAAAAAGGAGAAGAAGAAAAGCAAAAATATCTGGGGAGCAGAAAAGCATCTCTTGGTCTCTTCTCGTCGGTGCCCAGAAACAGGGGGAAACCAGGGGGTTTTTGCTTTGCTCAAGAAAGATGCAAAATGGGTCGGAACTAACGGAGATCTGACCTCGAGCCCCGGGTGGACTTTATTTCTGTTTTTTTTTTTTTTTGAAAGTAAAATGGACCTCAGGACGCGGATTATTTGGAACAGGACGGACGCCCTCATTTGTGGCTGAGTGTCAAATATAAAAATATTTTAAAAGAAGAAAAAGGATCCGCTCTCCGTCCAGGACAGATACTGATCCAACACAAATAAAGAGTTCAGAGTTATCAGCAGAACAGAACCCAGGAAAAAATCTTAAAAAAGATAAATATATATATTTTTAATGGATGGCAGTGATATGTCACCGTATCTAAGGGACAAAAATATGGAAAGTCCGACTCGAGATGAGATGTGGCCACTGCTCGGTGTTTTGGGACAGAATGTGAGTGGCCCTGGGGAGTTGGAACTCGTAAGTTTTTCTTGCTATTTATTATTTTAAGGTTATTATTATTTTATTTTAATTTTTTTTTATTTAAGGAGGTAAAAATGGTATCTTGCCATGGAGGTGAAAATCCGGGGACCATCTTCCGAGAGGGCCTTCTGGAGAGTTTTGATTCCAGAATCCATTTTAGCGTTAATTAGCCGTTGGGGTAGATTTCACGTTTACGGAGACTGGACTCGATTATAAATATTGGCATAAAAATGTAGGTATGGATCATAACTATTGATACGGAGGGAGATGTAGATCAATATGCAAAAATCAGAGACATTGGTTCGCTGTCAAAATAAAACCTATTGCCGGGCCGAATGGGGCACAATTATAATTTTAGCAAGTACGGAGGCTGAGGCTGGAGGTTGGAAAGTTGAAGGCCAGCCTCAGTCATAAGGCCTTGACCCTATACGGAGACCCTGTCTCAAAGTTTTAAAAATAAAAAGGGCTCAGGGTGTGGCTCAGTGGTTGAGCATCCCTGAGTATTCAATCCCCAGTACAAATAAATGAATGAATGGATAAATAAATTTAAAAAACACACATTTTTGCTTCTGTGTTTGACAAAGTTTCATCCTTTGAAATCATCAGAAAGGAATTAGGCGGATGACCTCCCGTTATTCTGCAAGATGGCTCCCGTTAGAGATGGGCAGTCTGTTGGGAGGTTTTGCACACCTGGAATCCCAGGAGCTGGGGAGGCAGAGGCAGGAGGATCATGAGTTCAAAGCCAGCCTCAGCCAAAGCGAGGCCGTAAGCAACTCAGGGAGACCCTGTCTCCAAATAAAATGCAAAATAGGGCTGGGGATGGGGCTCAGGGGTCGAGTGCCCCTGGGGTCAATCCCAGATACAAAAAAAAAAAAAAAAATCAAGGTGAAATAAAGGAAAATTTGAATTTTCCTCCCCTCCCACCACCAAATCCAACAGATCTTCCATGAAACTGTTGGGACATTTTGCAGTGGGTGGAAAAGATCAGAACACCCACGTTTCAAAATAAAATCTTCCCGGAAAAAAAAAAAATCACATTTAGAAGGACGGAAAGTGGATCGTGCACATGTATCACTTAAAATTCTACTTTCTCTTCTTGGGACCAAATAGGAAAAAAAAAATTAAAGAAAAAAAGAAAAAAAAAGGTGGATTTCTTTGCAAAACGTGTTTTATTCCATCTCATGTCTAGAAAGAAGGTCTGCAGATCTTCCAGCCATTTCCGGTCCTCTACGTGGTGACTGGGATTTAAAAATGATGACTATTTTATTCTTGATTTTTTTTTTTTTATTTTGCAAGAAGAAAATAAAGAAAGAGGCACACTCACGTGTTCCCGTTTCAAATAAGGGGAAGAAAAACAGGTTGAAATGGGGGAAAAAGTGCACAGAGAGAGAGAGAGAGAGAGAGAGAATCAAATATAAAACCATGCATGGGAGTTGAGCTTTGGAAAAAAAAATTTAAAAAAATACCTTCATCGTCACCACGATCATTACTGGTGATATCGTCTGCGATTTTCTTTGTGTTGGCTCCTGGGTCATATTGTAGAAGTAAATAAAGGAGGGGAAAAAAAAGAGAATTCAAAAACAGTAGATTTGCCAAAAATTCAGAGAGAGATTCTACCCAGTAAAAGGAAAAAAAAAAAAAATGTAACACAAAAAAGTTGAAATCTGTTACATTTGGATTTCAAAAAAAAAAAAAAAGAAAAAATGGGATACGGGCAAATGCAGAGAAACAGAAAGATGTCCACAAGAACCAATTTAAAACGTTATTTGTAAAAAAAAAAAAAAAATGTTAAGAATCCTGTGAAGATGCAGTTTGGGGGGTTAACATGAGACTACTGCAAAAATAAAAAAAAAAGAGAAAAAATTAAAAAGGAAAGAAAGAAGAAAAAAATCTAAGGTGAGTTGTTCCAAAAAAAAATTTTTGAAAAAAAAAAAAAAAGAGAAAGAGAAAATTAAATCATTTAATTTAATTTTTAAGAGATTTCCCACATTCTTAAAAGCAACGCATACAACGGACTCAGTGGCTTTTTGAAATTTTAACTGGTTTCGAGGTCAAGAGCCTGATCAAGGTCACTGAGGACGTTGGATTAAGGAAATTTCACCATTTAAGAAGAAATGCACTTAAACAAGAAAAATAGGGTTTTCACTCAGAGATCACAGATTTGCACACTGCCTGCGTGAGAGAGCTGGGGACACCAAAATTGGGGGCCAAAAAGGTTGATTTCATCCCTATGGACTGGTTTCCCACTGCTGACAGAGGTCCCTTGCAATATGCACGTATTAAAATGAGAATCGATGGCCCCGTGTTGGAAATGGTCACCAAATGTCACTTGGAAGGTCTCGCAACTGGAATTTGTTGGAGAATCTGCCATCACCTACCTTGTTCCCGATAAGCAAGATCTCAGCCGCAAAGGACGGTCCACCTGGGCACTGCGAGGTGAGGCCAGATCACCCACACCCAGAATGTCTCCAGTGACCTTTGCCCCCGTGTGCCATGTTGGATTTTATGTGCCTTGGGTAGGTGAGGCTAAAACATGGAGCGTCTGTTGAGTCCTGCTGGGTTTTCTAGAAGCAGATGGAGCCTGAGAGTGGACAGCCGGGTGCCAGCTGGGTGAAGGCTGTCCATCAACCCTGCAGACTTTGCGTTTTCTCCAGGGAGAGGGGATTTAGGGGTGTGGGCCATAAGTCACTCACTCACAGGGAAGTTGTGAGCCACTTGCTGCATTTCTGCAGAGCTCACAAGACCTTGAGCATGTCTGCAGAAGCTACCTGTGATATCGCTGTCTTCCTGGGTAAAAATAAGGTGTCAGAATTGTGACTGTGTGCGACTCAAACACCCTTGAAGGACCCTCCCGGGGTGGGTACGGGTGGCTGGTTAGTGGATCCCTGGTGTTTGTGGAGGACTTTGGGAGAGACGACGTTAAGTTGCATCAACAGGAGAACATGGACCACAGAGCTACAACAGCAAGGTCCTTGTGATACCTTCCAAACCCTGCACCCCGCAGTTTAACCTCCTAGAAGTTAATATGCACCCAGGAACAGGGAACAAGTGGGCAAAACGTCCCCCTTCAAGACATTCAGTTCCAAATTCTTTAAAAAAAAATCCAATGTTTATAGCAGCTCAGTTCATAGTAGCTCAGTGATGAAAGCAACTTAGATGCCCTTCAGCACATGAATGGATAAAGAAAAAGTGGTTTATATACACAGTGGAATATTACCCAGCCATGAAAAAGAATGAAATGATGGCATTTGGTGGTAAATGGATGCAGCTGGAGAAAACCAACTTAAGTGAAATAATCAAATCCCCTAACACCAGAGTCTGGATGTCCTGTCTGAGATGCAGACGGTGACATAGAATAAGGCACATGAGTTCACTGCATTAGACCAAGGGGAATGAAGGGAAGGGAGGGGGGAAGGGAATAGTATAACCAAAAAGAACAAATTTTTAAAAAAACTTTAAAAAGCATCATGATATTACCATATCGATTACACACGAGCAATAGCTCAGCTCACTCTGGCATGATTACGTGTCCCAAAACTTAAGAGCATTTACAAATCCAACCTGTCATCCCAGCGGTTTGGGAGGCTGAGGCAGGAGGATCACGAGTTCAAAGCCAGCCTCAGCCAAAGCGAGGCCCTAAGCAGCTCAGGGAGACCCTGTCTCTAAATAAAATGCAAAATAGGGCTGGGGACGGGGCTCAGGGGGTCGAGGGCCCCTGAGTTCAATCCCCCATACTGCCCACGTCCCCCCAAAAATCAACACTTAGAGACAGAGGCCACTGGCCTCACCAGTCCCCCATCCCTCCCAGAAGGACTCTGAGCGGCCCCGAGTATCAGAGCGCTGTCCCTGGTCCTGCTCTTGACATGGCCAAGTCCAACATCAGCGAATGCCGTCTGGGGGGTGCTAATGTGCAGAGCGACCCCCAGCCCAGGGTTCCCTGTGCCCTCAGGAGTTTCCACTGCGCAGGTCGCCCCCAGGGAAGACGCTACCCACTCAGACCCCCGACTCTTCTTCTCTCCAGGTGCTGTTTGGAAGCAGCCGAGTGACCCTCAGCAGAATGTCCTGCGTTCGAGTATCCCCATCGCTTTCCTGGAAGGGCATACAGAGGCCCACCGTCCACCTGCAGACCCACCGTCCACCTGAAGACCCACCGTCTGAGTGGACGTGGTCACCTCTTCCTGGGGCTGACCCGGTGCTTGTGGGTTTATCAAGACGGTTTCTAGGAGCATCCGTGGACCTCTGCGGACGTGTCTGTAGGTATCAGTAGGAGGAGAGTGGACGCCACTTCCGTCAAATAATTGCTTAAACAGTGACCGGGCTGCATCCAGGTGGTTAATAGTATCTCATTTATTTGTTCATTTCTTTAGTGTCTGGTACCAGGGATTGAACCCAGGGGTGCTTACCCACCGAGCCACGTCCCCAGCCCTTTGTCTTTCTGCCAGGGTCTTATTATGTTGAGGTCTTGCTAAGTTGCTGAGGCTGGCCTCCAACTTCCAGTCCTCCTGCCTCAGCCTCCTAAGTTGCTGGGATGACAGTTGTGCCTCCGTATGGCTGGCTGCTTCCTCCTCCTCCTCCTCCTCCTCCTCCTTCTTAGTGGTCAAATCATTGGGATTGGAGCCTCAGCGTCTCCTGGGTGCATCTCTGACATCAGCACATGCCTGGATCCACTCCTTCCTGAAGGAGGCTCCGTACCCTGGAAGACCTTTGAGGAGCCTTTGCAAAATCTGCGTAGATGATGGCCCGTCCCTCGGGGTCCCCACTATGTTCCTGCAGGAGTTTCTGAGCCTCCTGGTGGCAGGCGACATGGACGTCCACCACGGTGCACTGGGCCCCCAGAAGATGTTCGCCCTCTACCCGTCAATCATCCCACCTGGCGGACAGAGATGTCAGTCAGGGAGACGCCGATGTCACCTCTTGCCATCTCGTTAGCATTAACCCGGCCGTGGTCATTCATTGGGTGGACTCCGTCCGAGTCCATCTAACGGAGACGGCCACCTTTTCCGTGCATTTTGATTTCCAAGTGAAGTCCCACGTGAGCTCTCCATTAAAGGTCTCTTCCAGGCCACCGTCACGGATATTCAGCCTGAGGACCTCCAAGTCCTCTGGGGGAGACAGAAGGAAACAGAGGACGTGTGCCTTTGTCACTGCTCTGGAACAGAGTTTGATTCCAGGAGAGGTTCGAATCGGCAGGAAAATTCAAATTTGCAGAACGGAGAACGGCCGTGTGTCCCTCTCAGGTTGGTCAGTCTTCAACCTGAACATCGTGTGGGTAACTGTGTTGCAATGAATGAGCCAACGGTGCAACGACTCGATCGACTCAAGTCCACGTAGGAATCCTCAGAGTTTTTCCCATGACGTCCCTTAGGGTGTCAGGGTCCCCCAAAGGACTTTGTGGATCATCCACTCTGTCATTGAGGTTTTCCTGGTGATGTGTGTGGTTGCACGGGGACACGGGGTTTTACTTTAGCTCCCGGAGACCCACGGGGGACTTCTCACCTGTGACATGTGCAGATCCAATAAAAAGAAACTGAGAGGTGAATCGGGGATTCTGTAAATCAAGATCCTTGGGGTGAAGGCGTCTGTTTATTCCTTCACTCCTGCCCCCAGGGAACGGTTGTGCATATATGCATCTCCTACTGTTGAGTTTCAACCCCAAAATGCCTGACGTTGATCCTCAGAATGTTTCCGGTTGTATCTGAGGACAATTTAGGGGGGGTCTTAGGGTACGAGGAATTGAACTGAGAGGCGCTTGACCCCTGAGCCCCCTCCCCAGCCCTATTTTGCATTTTATTTAGAGACAGGGTCTCACTGAGTTGCTCAGGGCCTCACTTTGGTGGAGGCTGGCCTCCACCTTCGATCCTCCAGCCTCAGCCTCCCTCTCTCCTTCCAGGGGGCTTTCTTCTTCCGTTGCTATTTCAGAGTCACCGTCTCAAGCCACTTGCTGAATTCACGGTGGGCACGGCCACGAAGGCTCTGTGACCACCGTGAAAACCCCAGCAGGTATTTCTGGCCACACTTAGCAAGGACAGGACAATGGCACAAAGACCGTAAGTAACTTGGTGCACAGGACAAGTCATCAGGGTGGTGGAAGGTGAAGTCAGGACTCGAGGATTAAGTCCCTCATGAGCGGCTGTCATCCTGCTGTCCAATACAGGGAGGGGGACTTAGGTGCGAGGGTGTCCTTGAGTCTGGGAAGTGAAAGATTCGGTTTTGCTGCAGGAAAGACGTTGGTAAAACACACAGATCCATCAGGCCACCGTCCGGGTCTTGGGGACTTTGCTGGAGGAGGAAAAAATGCCACCACTAACAAATGAGCACAGGGGACACTTATGTATCCAGAGGAAAGATAGACTGTAGCGAAGAAGGCGAGAAGTAGTGTCCCAGATTGGGATGGAAGAGACCAGCTTCTTGGAAATGAGAAAACAGAGAGATTTGTGGACCCAGGTGTTGAGAGCCACAGCCGAAGGGGCCCCAGCAAACTTCCAGCTGCCAGCTGATTGGCTCCTCTGCAGTGATGCTCATTGGT